AGATGGCGAGCGGGTAGCTGATTTTTCGTCAATGACAGGGACAGAACTATGCTAACGACATAAATCTAGTAGTTTGGCTTAGCAGATTTTAATTGACAAATTTTTCCAATATTAAAAAAAAAAGATTTAAAATATTTGGATCTCTAAAATTGGAAGTAAGTAACAATTTTGCTGATGAGTGATGATTGAAGCAATTGAAATAGAGAAAAGGAGAGGAATTGAAGTTGAATATAAAAAACAATGATTGAAAAGGCCATTTACAATTAGACATGGCAAAAGGGTCGTCCGGCCCGCCGACCCGGCCCGGTCAAACCCGTTGACCACGGGTCCGGGACCGGCCCGGATTTCAAAAGGGCCGTGTAAGGGTCATTCGTTTCATGACTCGGCCCGGAGGGTCAGGGCCGGGCCGGGTTGATGATCCTTCTTTTTAATTTTTTTGTTATTTTTTTATACCTTTATTTTTAAAAAAGCACTGACCCGGCCCGGACCCGGCCCGGACACGGACCCGGCACGGGTATAGGTCCGTGCCGGTTCAGGGTTAGTGTTTTTTAGCCCAACGACCCGGAGGGCCGGGCCGGGTCGTGACCCGGCCCGAGTTTTGGCCATGTCTAATTATGACCATTTTGCCTTTTGCACTTCCCAGAAAACATATATGCACATTTTTTAAACATTCAAGTAAAACAAAAACGCTTATAAAAATAATTATAATAATAATAAAAATATGAAAATATACATTTTAAAAAGAAACATTCAAAACTCTACAATGATTTTTTTATTTTAATTATGATAGAATTATTTCATTTTTGTAGATACTGGTTTCATTAATTATGGTCATCGATGGAGAACACTTAAAATATATAAAAAAAATTGAATTATTACATTCAACTTATTAATTTAACGAATGATCTATAGAGCTAATAACTTTTGATTATATATATATAATTTTATAATATATGGATTTTACCATTAAAAAAATAAATTTCAATGGATTAGTATTGATTAAACTAATATTAGTATTGATTAAATAAGATAATATATCATATAATTATTATTTTGATGTCCAAGTAAAAACTTCAATTCAAAATTTCAAATAAATATATATATATATATATATATATTATGTTTATTGTGTTTTTGTGCTTATTCTCGTGTGTTTTCCATACTTGAGTTGAGTCTTTTTAGGTTCATTTTAGTCTTAACCGGTCCATTTTATCGTGTTTCGTGTATTTTTGCTCTAGTTTTGTGTTTTTGTGTTTTGCCGTATTTTTCTTGTCTTTTTGGTGTTGAATAGGTCCATCATTACGAGTTTGGGAAGACGAGCCGTACGAACTATTCGAGCCGTCTAAGCTGACCGAGTTGTCCCAAGATCCATCCGAACCATTGTCGAGCCGTCCGGTCTACTCCGAGCCATCCCGGGCCCTTCGCGAGTCAAGACCCGCGCCATGCCGCACGCCTGCGCATGCCCAGCACTCGCCCAACATTCGCCTGGCTGCCAAAACACTCGCCCGTGTGCAACCCCAACACTCGCCCGGGTTACCCCAAACGAACCAACATTCGCCCGAGACCAAGGCACCGCCTGCTGCCATTCGCCCGCGCGCCATGACACTCGCCCACATAATGCGGGGCATCCTGGAGCACTCGCCCATCATTTCGTCGGGCGGACTGACATTCGCTCGAGGCCACATGGAGCACTCGCCCGGAATTCCGCCAGGCGAACTGACATTCGCCCAAGGCCACATGGAACACTCGCCTGAAATTCACCCAGGCGGACTGATATTCGCCCGCGGCATGGAGCACTCACCCAAAATTTCGCCCGGGCGAAAATGGGGCGAGTGTGAAATTTTAAATGTGTGTGAGTGTGTTTAGTGTGTGTTTATGGTGTAGCTATAAATAGACATTGTGTTTTGTATTTTTGGACACCACCCTTCATTTTTAGTTGAGAAATTAACTCTTCTTCTCTCTTTTATTTTTATGCTTTGGTTTGGAGGTCTAAGCTTGACATTTTCCGGCAAGTTTTCCAGTAACTTTTCTGGCTACTTTATTTTTATCTAAAATTCGATCTTTACGCATTATTTTCGTCTTAGCTTGCTATAGGAGGATAAGTACCTTGATTAGGGCTTATTACTTCGAGTTTGTGATTTGGTCGGGATTTTGTGTTAATGCTCGATTTTAGTGCTTTGCTTTATTTTCATTTGTTCAAGTGTGTTAGGATTCGATACGTGCTTATCTTGTGTAAAGGTCACGACTTTGCGTAAAACGTGATGATTTAGTTAAGAAGGCTCGTGTTAGATTACCTAGGATCACTTGGCTCGCATGTTTTCTTTTCGTTATTTTCATTTTCGTCAAGTTATGGATACTCTGCGCAATCAAAGTTTCAATCTTTCTTTTAAATTTTGCATCCTTCACATTCGCTCTTAATCTCTTAGCTTAATTTCATGTAAATTATCCCCAATCAAGCGAGTAGAATGTGTAGGACCTTATTTTTTGTTATGGGGACCTTATTTTTTGTTATGTGAATTGACGACTAGATAGTGAATGAAGCTCCGAACAGTCTTCCTTTGAGAACGACTCGAGTTGGATACTCGATTATCAACAATCCCCAAAAAATACTACAACATATTCCATTTGTAAAAAAATTAAATACTATTCATATATTATTTTGTTATATGCAAAAAAAATCCGAACGCAAAGCTCCCTTACAATGCAGCCTAAAATACGGAATAAGACCCACGAGGCGTACAAACCCTTAATCGGTCCATTTATGGTTGGGTTGTTTTAACCATTGCAGGTATATGTTGTGGAGTATGTAAGTTGTTCCTATATCAGTTGGTGAGGAGACCATTGTTTAAGTATGCTATCAATAAATAACCTAATCAATTTTTTTGTAGTTCATTCGCCTGAAAATTCAGCTTTAATACAAATTAATAAACTCCAATTTGGTCTAGATTACTTATCTCGAGTTACTAGTATACAACGCCTGAATAAAAAATTAAAAATACATCGGCATGGGATTATTCAGAAGGGGTGTTGGTGCCACCCTCTATGCTGACCTCACTCTATGCCACAAATACGTCAGCATCTCCAATGCTATAAGTGTGAAAGACCATTATTTTTAACACATGTCAATTAGTGATTGTAATGTTAATCCACATTGGAATAATGTTAAAAGACTAAAAATTTCAATGAAACTAGTATCTCCAATGCATCAATTTGATAAGAAGTTATTTGTATAGGTGGACCAATTAAATAATTCATTGATACAAAAAAAATAAAAAATTAAAACAAATATAAAGTAAATTGATGAGTCATCATGTTTAACATGGTGTTAGATATTAGAAAGTATGCTCAACATTGTCAACATTAAATGACATCCACCTCATCATGAAAGAGTTCATGACAAGATGCATTGGAGAAAAAAATAGAGATATACTTTCAAAAGTTGATGATATGAATGACTTTTTATAATGTCAAAAGTTGCATTGGATATGCTCTAACATAGAAGGACAAACTCCTCACATTGGCAATGTCCATAAATAAAACTCCTTCCACACTGATCTCATTGCAACGAGAAAAGAGTTGCCTCTCAGACCGGTTCACACAACCCAAAATAATAAGTAACTTGAGCAAGTTGTTGTGACACGCGATCTTGCTGTGGCAAATGAAAATTCACCATGTAGTCCGTAGATAATATTTCCTCCTATTTTTAATAAATGTCGTTTTGAGAAGTTGCACAATAATTAAGAATATTTTTTTTGTCAATAATAACCTTCATTAATTAGGATAGAGATTGATGTTTTGAGAAAAGATGAAGAGTGAATATGAAAAGACGTAGTGTATTTATTAGTTAGATGAGGGTAATGATGTGAAAATATGTACAAAATATCCAAAACGACATTTATTTAACAAATGATCAATTAAGTTAGAATGACAAATAATAAAAATAGGAGGAAGTATAATCTATTGTTCCTCCCCCTGCTCTTTAAGTAGACATTCATTTGTTCAAAGAAATCATCAAAAGCTAAGTAATAAAAAAGTTCCTAGAGCAACTAACAGCAGTAAAAGCTAGCGTGTTAATGCGAGCATTCAATTCTCTCCCTTGTCTTTATGTTCTTAAATTCCTAAACATTCAATTCTTCCCTTTTCTCTTTTTTCATAAATCCCCACTAAACTTCTATGTCATAATCTTGTTGATATCAACTTTCAACAGTAAATATCAACAATAAATACTGATGTTATATTAATGTACAAGCAAGGATAGACCTAGACAGGGGTCCAAAGAGGGCCCCCTCAAATTATAATTTTTTTTTATTAAATATATACATATATTAATAACAAAAAATAAGTACTAACAAATATGAATAGAGACGTAAAATTGATTTACAATATATAAGGTGTAAAATATATTTTCTATGCTAACTTAATTGGAACCTACAAGAATATGATAAAATTTCAATGAAAAATTCCAACGGAATTCCAACGACAATTCCAATGGATATTTTAATGTTATTATTTCCATTAGAAGATTCCAATGGATTCCAACGGAATTCCAACCAAAATATTCTATTGGAATGTGTTATCTATGGAATTTCCGTTGGATTTTAATAATTCCGACAGTACATTTTCCAACGGTTGAAATATGTATAAAAATAAAAATTCCAACAGAAAATGTATAATTTCAACGAAAATTCCTACAAAAAAAACTATTTAAATAATAGCCGTTGAAATGATCAAATTTCATCTAACTTTCAATGAAAAATTCATTCTAACGGAATAATTCCATTGGAATTTGCGTTAGAATCATTCTAACGGAAGTTATACCATTAGAATATCCGTTAAAATTTTTATTGGGAATATATTACAGTAGGATTTTCCATTGAAATATGACATTTTTTTTTTGTAGTGGAAGTAACAATATTAGGTATTTATTATAAAACATAGTAAAAATTTTAGTATAGTACATTTCTAGGTGAATTTTCTAAAGTATTTACAATTATTTAATTTAATTTCTGTCCTCTTAATTATAAATCGATTTAGTGATATATCAAATCAAGTATCTAGTTGGATTTCCAGACATTTGAATGTTGATTTGTTACTTTATTTTATTCGCAATTATATTTGTTAGTTCTTTCTTAAAAAATGGTCTTTTGATAAGTTCTTATCAACAATTAAAAAAAAAAAAACCATGCACTGTCCTCAAAAATTCAATGAAAATCAAATTTTCAACAAATAAAAAATGTAGATGTAGAACTTGAATTATAAATACATAAGGATTTTAAAAGTTTGAGCTGATACAAATTCTAAATTTTAAAAAAATCGACGATGCACTTATTGATATTTATATACCTATAAGTAAACCTTTTTATGAAATGAGCATTATAGTTTAAACTAAAAACTCATTATTTGAAATTAAAAATCAAAAGTCTTGAGTGGAATTTTTAGATCCGTCATTGTGTTCAAGTGTATTAATAGAAGGAAAAAAACAAATAAACAATGTCTCTAGAATTGTAGTGCGACTCATTATCGTATAAATTACCACTACAAGAATAATCATTTTTAGTGGCAAAAATTTTTGTCGCTATATGTTCAAATGTCGTCATAAAAAATAATGTCGTTAATAATGTCGCTACATGTTTGAATGTCGTCACAATAATCATTTTATAGTCATGTCATTAATGTCGTCGTACATTGTTAAACACTTATGAATGCAAGAAAAAAACAACTTGTAGGGCCAGTCTAAGATACAAGTTATATGTTTGAAAATAGAACACTACTAAAAAATTTTGGTGCCAAGACATATGATATATGATCTATTCAAAGTTAGGTAAGTCGTTCTTTGTAGTTGGGTGAGATAAGCATATTAGTCAATATAGTTGAGGGGAAAAAAATTCAAACCACAAGTATTTAACCTCTAGTTTGCACCACAGTGTATGAACACAAAAGAGGAGAAAATATGGATGAAAAGAAATTAATGAGATAAAATAATAATTATGACAATTCCAAAACAAAAAAACAACAAAAATTATACATATATGCCAGGAGTGCCAAGATATATGATATATTGCACGAGTTCGATGTCCCATAAATTTAATTCTACACATTTTAGTTAAATTTACAATAATCAATCCCAAAATGTGTAGCTATTAAAATAAGGACAATAAAAAACGAAAAAGAAAAATAGAAATCATGGTATGGTAGAGTTTGTGGGCCCAGCCCGACCCGGTGAACATGTGATGTAATTTAATTTGGAACGCCAGCCGCTAATCTTGCTCGCAAGTCCTTTCTCAAAATTTTGCCTGATGGAGACTTTGGAATGGCATCAATGAAGAACACACGATTTATTCTCTTGTAGAAGATCACCTGCAACATTAACATAATTATCATATTGTGAAAAATAAACATTTGCATATGTTAATTTTCAATTTGAATTTAAGAAAAATAAGGCGATCATTTTCTTATTAAACTTATATAAAATTTAAGGATAATTGAGTAATTAAAAGTGTATGTACCTGTTTGGACACAAATTGCTTAATTTCATCTTCTGTGATGGTGGAACCGTTTGACTTCACGACATAAGCCACGGGTACTTCTCCAGCTTGCTCGTCTTTCATGCTGCAATCATTTCACAATTCATAATCTTCATTATTTTATTATTCTTTTCTTTTTTTTTTCCGGATTTGAATTGATAGTGGAGTTTAGCAACAAATTAAAGCTACCCCTATAATCTCAACCCATTAAGAAATAAAAAATAATAAAGGAAAAAAAGAAGTAAAAGGAAAACCAATTATGTATAGTTCTAATGCACCCATGACTTTTTTTCCACCCACAAATTAATGGACTAGGTACCTTAATGGTCATTTTAAAAAGTTAAGCACTTTGAATACCATAAATTTGCTTTAAAACAACTTAACAAATCAAATGACATACTTTTGGATGAGACCAAATTATAGTTTTTCATTGACTATCATAATAAACATGACATGTTATTTTAAAGCAATTGTAGTTTTTCATTGTCTCTATCATACTAAACATGACATGATTCTTTTAAAGTAGATAAAAGTATTTTTATAAGTAGATGATAAAATTCTGGTAATTTATATATTTTTTTTTTTTGAAACTTACGAGACAACAGCAGCATCAGAGATATTCGGGTGGTTGAGGAGGAGGGCCTCCAACTCAGCGGGTGCAACTTGAAACCCTTTGTACTTTATAATTTCCTTCAACCTATCAACGATGAACAACTCATCATCGTCATCAATGAACCCTATGTCGCCAGTGTGTAGCCATCCTTCTTTGTCTATTGTCCTTTCAGTTGACTCCGGATCGTTCAAATAGCCTGCAACCAATTTTGGATGTGATTTACGTTCAATTTAGTTTTAATTTTAACTTTTTTGAACCAAATTATCGTTTTCCATAAGAATGTTAGTTTTTGTATAACATTGATGATTATTACATTTGCCAATGATTTAGGTGGGAAATTGTGGAGCTAATTGTGTAATTAGGAGGACTATCACATCCTAATCTTCAATAACTTTGTCTCGTGACCTACATTTGGTCGGACCTCCCTTTTTTCTTTTCAACTTTGCTTTCTATTTACAAATGGTTTGAAAGGTTACGCAATCACCGGTGGTATTAGGTTTACCTAAAATTTCATGCGTCGTACAAGGCATTGATTGTTGTATAAATTTGAATAAAATTCAAACTATGGA